CAGCTAGATATACATATATCTTTTTAAAGTTTTGTAGTCAACTATTATAATTGTAACATTTAAGACAATAATATTTTTTGATGGCAGCACATTCAGCATGCAATTTTTGTATATTAATGAAAAATTGAAATAGTAAATTTTTTTTGTAATCTCTGAATATATCTAAAATATACATATCTATATATTACTATAAACTTTTTATATTGATATTCAATGCGCTACTGGTAATTTGCTTCCATTTGAATCACTCATAAAATTAATATTCTTCAGATACTATGGAAATCATTTTGATTATTGAGAATTGAGACACAAAATTAATTTTCCTTTCAGCACCCCAAACATATGTGCCTAGTAGGTGATACATATCCTATGATAATTGGTACTAAGGTATTTGATAGAAAGCAACTTTCCTTGACAATTTGCTCTGATTTTAATAATTATTCTTGCAAACATTAAAAAAATTATTACACAGGTATTCATAATCTACATTTATAGTTTTTTTCCTTTTAACATAGTATGTAGGGGTATATAATGAATATCTCATAAATGGTCATATATTAAGTACATTATTGTAACAGTAAAAAAGTTATATTTTTGTCTGTAGTTTGCAAATTCTAAGAAACTGTTTCATTACAGGCCACCTTTAACCTATTTTATGGCTTCTATAGCTTTAGTAAATTTGGCAAGAGTAACATGCTTTGCCTCCCTTCTCTCCATTGTGTTTTCATTTGTATTTCATGTCATTTGGTAGCAGTTCAGATTGAAGGAAACAAACTTCTCCATACCTTCAATTTCTACTGAAAACAATTTCCCCTCAATTTCAGTCATTTGCCTTTCAAGCAGTGTCACATATCTGCGAACAGGCTCACAGTCTTCAGAGTAATTGGCCCCGATTAAGAGAAAGTTCTCTGCAGAGCTACACACACTCTGACCACAGTTTAAGAAACTAACTAACCAAGCCAATGCTTGGTCATCCTTTCCAAAGGATGTACTATTCCCCCTATAGCAGCTTTAGAAGTTTCCTCTAGTGTCCCAAACCAGTTAAGCTTATCTTTCCACTAATTGTTGGCACTGAGATGAAACTGTGCTATTTTCAACATTAGCTTTGGGTCCCTGTACTTCCCATTAACTATATCTTCATCCTTGAGCCCTTTGCAAAGTGTTTCTCTCACATGATATAAATCAACTGTGTTTATTTGATTCATTCTTTTTAGGTACCTCTTTATGGGAAAGAAGTCTAGGTACTGGATTGTTGCTCATGAATTCAATATGCTTCCTTTTAACCTCAGCATTATCTAAGCACATCATTAATAATGACCTTACTGAATTGTACTTCTGCTTGCTTGCAATGCCACCACTGTACAAATTATTTACACTTCTAATACAATTTGTTTGGCTTTTCTCAAAAATATTAATCTCCTGCTTTGCAATTTTAGGAAGAACTATCTTTGTGAACTTAGCGCACTTTATCATTGCATCACTCAATACCAAAACTGAAGCTCTTTCATTCAAAACTGCCATGAGACTGCATAAGCTGGTGTCATACTCTTGGCAGTGGCTTGATGCAGCATTTTTGCAGCATTTAATGTCTGCAGCCTCCTTCATCTA